TTACATTTCTTGTAATTAACAGTGTTTGTTTTCACAAACAAGCTGCCTAGCTATTGGTATTAATTGAATACTATTATCACTCACTGAATCTGTAGGAAATCTCATTTAAATAAATTACAGAAACTCCCAACTTAATATCTAAGCTTGACATTTAGCGAAAGTTTAATTTCGTGGTGCATCTTTGCACTTGTTCACAGTTTTTAAATTTCTGTAGAAGAATCATACTAAACAGTAAAAATGATCATATTAAACCATACAAGAATTTTTCTTGAACTCTTTATTTTTAACTTTGAATTTTACTTTAAGCATACATTCCATTGATATGTCGCTATATTAAATAGGAATACTATTAATACAATAACATTTTATAGTCATTTTTTAAGCTACAGTCTTGACCAAAATGTATGCATATTTTCCAACAAATAAGATCATTATTATTAAGATGAAATACAAATACACTTATCGCTGTGAAAATGGGAAATGCATATTATATTAAACATTTACATATGTAACTTGTATAATGAAACAGGCTCTATGGACATCATGAACGAATTATTAGATCAGTAAACACCTTTATCAGACATCTGTAGAAAGATGTGTAATTCAGCATTTCACCTATCACAACAAAACTGTCAGGTTTAATAGAGGTCGAATTATTTACTGTAGGTGTCTGTGACTTGTTGGCGATAAATTTCAACAATAAACAGACAGCACACAATTCACTTGTTTTAAAACAATATATTCAAAACAAGTCAAACGTATGTACAAAAATTCGTTACACTATTGGTTATCACAGTTGTATCCAATTAATTTAAAATACACTTTGACAAAACAAATCATTCTCCTCTATTTCTGTTATTACAATAAAAGCTGCGAAACACACTTTAGAAAGTTTCCATTCTAACTAAATTACTTCTTTTTGTATCTGCACGTATTTATAACATGCGACAGAAAAATCACGAAATATCTAGCCTTCTTATAACAACAATATTACACATAACGAAAGAAAGTTAGAAGTTTCGAGTAGGATGACGTCAACAATATTACAAACAACAATTGTACAACAATTAAACTACATACACAACAAACGACTCGTAAAAGTTATGTAACAAATTGTATCTTTTTCTTCAAAGTATATACACAGGCGGGTTCAATTACTTTAAAACATCCTTTGACAAGACAAATCATTCTCCCCTATTTCTGTTATTACAATAAAAGTTGCGAAACACACTTTAGAAATTGACCATTATGTAAAACAATTAAACTACATACGCAACGGACGATTCGTAAAAAGTTATGTAACAAAACTTGTCATAACTATCGGTTTTAAAATAATTAACTGTTAACACTCTTGTTATGAAAACTAAATAATCTTTAAATATTAAAGCACTAAATAATAACTTTCAAACTGAACAGTCTTTTATATCCAACAAAAACCTTATCGAAACAAATGTAATGACAAAATAAAACATCAAATCATTATAAATAGCGTCTGTAATCTTATATCAGTTCATATTAAACATTCATTACTTGGTTGGTCTTCTTATTACTCTAATAACCTCCAATTGACTATGTGATATTCTGTCGATGAGGTTATTGATGTAATTCACCATGATTTCATCCCAACTAGAAGGCACTGCAACTCAGCTACAGTAGCTGGTTTAGGGTCGTGATTAGCAATTTTCTGGCTCAATTCTGCCCAACAGTTCCCAATTGGATTACAATCTGGAGACCTTGCTGGCCATGCCAACCTTGTTACGTCCTCTTGGTTGAGATAATCATGTACAATATGTTCACTATGGGCAATGGAATTGACATCTTGAACACAAAGTTATTGCCGACCTATGCCCTAGCATATGGCAGAAATATAGTTACCATGTGATGCCTGTACGAAAATAAACTTGTTTCACCAGTGTTACGTATTAGAATTTCGAATAGTCCGAAGCCCAGTTAACTGATAATTTAAAGTTAGTAGTTGAATTGTACTTTGAATTTAGTATTTAAATATATGTTGATATATTAGTCAATTTATGATGTTTACCAACAAGATTGATACACACCGTTTTCGTTTTTAACACAAATACGTTTTAATATACACACGACAATACAATTTACAATAACAATTATTACAAATAGTTATTACAAACAATGATTTATTAACAAAAGTTTCACAAACTTACAAACAATATCAAGTTTTCTTTGTAGTTTGGAACTTCCTTGATGAGCGAGTTAATTACAAGTCGATGTAGATACGATTCGCCAGGAAGCTAGCTAGCGGTGAAACGGTTAATGTCAAACAAATTTTGATATAGTCATTAGGTCTTAGTTTAATTTTAACACGTAGATAGGATTGTTGAGGAAGATGCCGACACAAGCGTGCCGGGAGAGCATTGTAGTGACCGTCGTTCTCTAGTCGAAGCGGAGCACGAGCATTTGTTCTTCCACATGATGATGACGTCAGTTGGAGAAAGCAGTCGACGAGGATTGGAGCAGAGAGATGCTGACTGATAAACGTAATTCTGTTTGAATAGATTTCTTCTCTCCTCCTGATAGGAATTTAGGTCTTTGTGACCTAGGAGGGTCAGGTGCGCTGGGACCTCTTCCTCCTGAATAGATTTCTGAGAGTTTGTTTGTTTGTTTTTGAATTTCGCGAAAAGCTACACGAGGGCTATCTGCGCTAGCCGTCCCCAATTTAGCAGTTTAAGGCTAGAGGGAAGGCAGCTAGTCGTTAATGCTTAGCAACTTTGGGTCAATAACACG